TTGGACTGTGTGAGAAAGAATCCAGTATCAGGATTGGAGGAAGACTCATTAACAACCTGAGGTATGCAGATGACACACTTTGCTTGCTGAAAGTGACAAGACTTGAAGCACAGCCTTCATTATGAATTATACCTCAACATAAAGAAAACAGAAATCCTCACAATTGGACCAATAAACATCATGATAATTGGAAAAAGTATTGAAGTCAAGGATTTCATTTCACTTGGATCCACAATCAATACCCATGGAAGCAGCAATCAGGAAATCAAATGATGTTTTGTATTGAATAGGTATGCATCATGAGATCTGTTTAAAGTGTTAAAGGGCAAAGATGTCAGTTTGAAAACTAAGGTGTGCCTGACTTAGACCATGGTATTATCAATAGCCTCATATGCTGTGAGAGCTGCACAATAAATAAGGAAGAAGAATTGATGCATTTGAATTGTGATGTTGGTGAAGAATGTTGAATGTACCATGGACTGATAGAAGAATGACAAATCTGTCTGGAGGAAGTAGAGCTAGAATTCTCCTTAAAAGCGAGAATGGCCAGACTTCATCCCTCTTACTTTGGTCATGTTGTCAGAAGTGACCAGTTCCTGGAGAAGGATATTATGTGAGGTAAAGTAGAAGGTCAGTGAAAAGGGTGAGATTCTCAACAAGGTGGATTGACACAGGGGCTGTGATAAGGGGTTCAAGCATGGAAGTGATTGTGAGAATGGCAGTGGACTGGGCAGTATTTCATTCTGTTGTAATAGAGACATTATGAGTCAGAACTGACTGGACAGCACCTAGCAACATCAACAATGTCCTCTTGGTTGACCGTTCAATCATTATATAATGTCCTTTCTTGTCTCTTATGCTGGTTTTTGCTTTAAAGTCTATTTTATTAGACATTAATATTGCTACTCCTGCTCTTTTAAAATTGACTTGATATATTTTTTGCTTGATATATTTTTTCACCCTTTGATTTTTAACTTATTATTTTTGTCTTTGTGTCTAAGCTGTGTCTCTTGTAGACAGCATATTGATGGGTCGTGTTTTCCATCCTGGTACTCTCTTGATTGGTACATTTAATCCATTTACATTCAGTGTAATTTTCGATAGATAAGAATTTATTGTCTTTTTTTTTCTTCAGTGTGTAGTGCTGTTGATTTCTTTGTTCTATATATTTTTCTGTGCTGACTTCATTTTGCTTGAGTATTTTCTTATTTTCTTTGTTACTGTCACTTTAGAGTTTAATAAATCTTTATGATTTGCCTTTTTTATTTTGATAACAAGTTTTGTAAATTTTCTTTCAAGTTACCCTGTAATTTATTATTTTCTTCTCAAGTTTAAAACAGTCCATCTATCTTGAAATCGTCTTGACTTCCTCTCCATTTGGAGGTTTTCTAACTACAGTTTATTCCCTCTTTTTGCTTTTGAATTTTCCTTATTTAAAAATTGTCCTCTCTGGTTCCCTATTTTCAGTCTTGTAGGCTTTTTTTTTTTTTCCACTTTGGATACTTCTGTATCTGGTTTGGTTCCTGGGTGATGTTGTCATGTGTGTTAATATCAGGTTGTTGCCTGCTGTTGTTCTCTGTCTCCAGAACTCTCTTTAGTATTTCTTGTTAGTTGGTCTGATTTTTACACATTCCCTTAATTTTTGCATATCTAGAAATGTCATCATTTTGCTGTCATACTTGAAGGACAGTTTTTTTGAGTACAAGATTCTTGTTTGGTAATTTTTTCTTTCAGAGTTTTATGTATGTAATTGTATTGCCTTCTTGCCTGCATGATTTCTTCTGAGAAGTCAGAGTTTAATCTTAGGGGTTCTCCTTTAAAGGTAAGCTTTTGTTTTTCCCTAGCTGCTTTCAGGATTCTTTCTTTGTCTTTGATTTTGGGATGCCTGATTATGATATGTCTTGGTGATTTTCTTTTGGGGTCTATCCT